AAACATATGAATTTATATATATATATATATATGTTTGGTAAATGCAAATCTAAAATATGCGTGCTGCAGCAAAAACTCAACGCAAACCATAACTAGCTCCCCAATTGGCCTCAAAAATGGCTACAAATTTTTCAATGCGGCAAAAATGTTGTGCGCAATTGTTGTTGCAACAATGCTTTTGTTGGCAAGCCTGCTTTTTGTCATTATTATTTTCTATTTTAATTATTTACATAAAAATGCTGGTAAAATGATTGATGACATTGGCAGCCAAGGCAGCCGACGACGATGACGATGGCGATGACGACAATGTGCATTAAGCATACGCCATGTAGTACAGGCTTTACAAAATCATTTTAGTCGTCTACATCTGTGTGTGTGTGTGTTGCGGCCTTTTCGACGTGATCACGATTTTATTTTATTTATTTATGTTTTGTTATTATAAATTGTAAATGAATGAACGAAAAAAAGGAATACACAAGTAAACCGAACAAAAAGTTGTAAATAAATAAAAGAGCAAAATGACGCACAGAACACTGACAAAATGCAACAGCAATGCGGTCAACAGGAAGGAACAGAGGATGTGGAGCAAGAGAATAGGACACAAAGGCGCAGCTAACATTGAAATTGTCTCTGCAGCACAAAAAAAAAAGAAAAAAAAGCAAAACAAATAAAGAAGGGGGCAATAGCGGGGCCAAAGCACGTTCCGCCCATTGTTTATTGTATTTCATGCAGAGCGCAGCGATAAAAATTTTTGCTACTAAAGTATAAATTATGCCAATAACTTTGAATTGGTAAAAAAGCCTTGTAATATATGTATGTACGTACTCGTATAAATACACATACACATGTAAACTTATGTGACAGCAGAGCGGCAACAAAAGCAACCAATACATCAGCAGCTAAGCTCAAAAATGTGATGCAATGTGACAAACGGCCGAGCTATTAGAAATGGGAGCCGTGAATGGATCACGATCCGCTGAATACGCTGTGATTCCGTGCTCGTCCATATAAAGTACTACATATATACGAGTACGAGTATGTTAAGTGCAGCTTCACATGATATACGAGTATGGTATTCGAGTATGTCAGAAACAAAATGGTAGGTTCTTATTTAAAAACCCAAAATTGGTTTTCTCATATGAGTTTCAAATGAATAGATGAAGTAACGATTCCTTTTCTCTTTGGCAATCGGAAGTAGTTTTGAACTAATGTGTAATATGAAAAAAAAAAAAACTAACATTGTAAGTGATATTTTCTGATAAAGTCACATTTACGTTATTTTCTATAAAGTACAAATCGTCTTAGGGCATTTCATATTCGTTAACCATCGACCATAACTAGGATAACATGCGATAGTTATATTTTGAAAAATTTAGGTGCAGCTTAGCTGGCATATATTTTGAATTTCGTTGGCTTTGAATTGGCTCACAATTGAATGCCGTGTACCTAAAAGGTACAAGAATATAATGCACTAAAACAACCAACAAGAAGTTTGTTCAAGAGCCGTTTTTTTAGGTATGCATGAAAATGACTTTTTTTATTCAAACTTTTCTACTCAAAAATGTTTATATACGAGTATACACAAGTATGTATAGGAGGTCAACATAAATCAAGCCGGTATTAGACCTCCCCCTGGTCAGCAGTTTCTTAGAATGTTCCAGTAGACATTGGCGAGTTACGTCATTAGCAATTTGATGTGACCGTCAAAATGCAATGGCGCCACAGGATAAACTGCATTTAGCATCAAGAAAGACATTGAGGAAGCCGTTTAAAGGATTTCATCCATTCCCAATGGACGAGTAACCGGTCTCGCTTTACCAATCATCATGCTTGCGTGCTTGATAGGAACATATTGTAAAAGCTTAGAAGCGATCGGTCTACTTGTTATAGCCTGTACCCAAAGGGTGAAAGGCTATACTAGTTTTGTGCGCATGTATGTAACACACAGAAGGAGGCGTGGCAGACCCCACAAAGTATATATATTCTTGATCAGCATGACAAGCCGAGTCGATATAGCCATGTCCGTCTGTCCGTCTGTCTGTCTGTCTGTATGAACGCAAGGATCTCCGAAAGTATAAGAGCTAGAATAACCAAACTGGGTATACAGATTCTCCTGAGACCGAGAAAGGACGAGTTTGTTCATTTTTTCTGATCCACCCCCCACTCCCCCCCTATTAACGATTTTCTATAACTCCCGTAATTCTTGGAATTTTGAACTGAAATTTGGTAGACACATCCAGTTAGTAATTGTATATCCGTATACCAAGTTTCATTATGATAGAATGATCGGAAAGAAAGTTATAGCCATATAACCAGGCCCAATGCACACATACATACATATGTACAAGTACACAAACACGCATAAGGCAGGATTCTGATGTAAATGTAAATGTATCTATGCATGCATGGAATATTTTATATTTATTTTTGGTTAATTAATTAAATTAATTTAGTTAAATTAAATTAATTAATTAATTTAATTAAATTAATTTAATTACTTTTTTGTGGGGTGGTACAGGGTATTTAAGAGTTGAGCCTGCTCGACTTTAGCATTCCTTTCTTGTTTTTAGATTTTCGAAATTGGCATATACCTCCAGTTGGTGATTATGAGTTCGTATGCCAAGATTCATTATGATAGGTCAATTCTGAAGAAAGTTATAGCCATAAGTAAAATCGCTGCTCATGCGCTGCCTGCAGCTCTGTCGGCAGCGATGCCCGCAGCTGTTGTTGTTGTTGGTGCTTTGGTTCAACTTTGTGCTGCATACATACATATTAACACGCATAGGTACGTGATGTAAATGTATGCTGTTAAAACTGAACATAAACATGTATTCTAATTTAATTGAATTAATTAATTCATTCATTCATTATTTTTAATAATTTAATGTTTTTAAAATTTTTTTTTTTTAATTTTTCTTTTTTGTGGAGAGTACAGGCTATTTTACTGTCGGGCTTGCTCGACTGTAGCGTTCTATCTTGTTTTAATTGTTAAAAAGGACAGACATACTATACTTACAAACAAGCAGATATACAGGCTTTAATGTTCATATCAGTTTTAATACGAGTCACAAATAATTGATGATTAATAGAATATCGTATTTAAATCAAATACAAGTATAAACAACATTAACTTATCCTGTCCTGTGCTCAGTAAAACGAAGCACAGGACAAAAAAGATCGAATGGATCATTAAAGAAACCCAGCCAAAGCACATTGATAGTAAGGTGTTTGAGGAATACAAAGAATAAAAGGAAACATTTACTATATAAGAACATAGAGGTGTGTAAACCTAAGTGTGTGGGTGTGTGTTGTATCTGTCTCGCCCGTCGCTTGTTGTTGTTCTCTGCGCACTTTTTATGGGTCTTTGGGGGTCAATAAATATCGACGGCCGACTTGCTTGCTAACTCCAGCTTAACAGTTCTTATATCCATCTTGTTATGGTTTATTTATACATATTTAGTGTGCTTTTGTCGTCAAAGCTCATCAATGATGCAAAAGTTAACATCGACATAGGAAAAAACGGTTTCCACTGGAAACTTTCCAGTGTATGAAAATAAATATAGCTGCGGAGTTCCCAAACATATTCGCATACTAATAAATTTAAAAATTGTGAAACAAAAATTTGCTGACGTTTGCTATATTTTATTACGATTTAAATTTCCTTGCACAATTTTGCTTCTACTTGTATTCGTTTCTTCTTCTCTCTCTATACCCCTTTATTTCTAATGCTACTAATATGATTATTGATATATATCGGTGTACGTTGGACCTTTACAACTTAAAGATATTCCCTTATGGAATTTTCTTCTATTTTAATCGATCCGATAAATTGAATACAAGATTTGTTGTCTTGATTTTAGAATTCCAAACTTGTCTCTTGTGCCGAAACAAAAATGATTTAATTCCGCGCATAATTTACACAGTTTATGAACTCTATAGTAACTTAATAATAATTTGCTCATAATAAATTCCACTCCCACAATATCTGCTGACACTATGGCTGCCATCTTCCCGATTTTTCAACGATCATGCAGACTTTGCGTCTTACTTTTACCTTTCCAATGGTAATAAGATACTTCGATCGTTCAATAGCGACTATTTCACAAAGGCGATTGCAAAGGCGCCGATCGCTCTGGGCTCTATCGATGTCATTAGCCTTCAGTTAAACTTTATAAATCAGCTTGTACCGGACTAAAAAGCAAAGCTCATCGTGCGGATAATAATATTTAAATATTTTTTAATAATTAAACCAGCACCTTTAATTAATTTAAGCAATACTTGAGACATAACAAATTTGTTCAGGAAAATTTTTTTTAATTGTTATGTCTCTTTGTAATGTAAATAATTTGTTTCGCTAATAACTTTTCTTAGAATTAACCGATTTTTGAAATGTTGCCGGTATTGACGAAATTCTGTAGCTGGGGAAGGAGGGAAAATTCCAAAAAATAAAATACACTCGTCCCCTATCGGACATAGGAGAATCTGGCTACCAACTTTGGTTATTCTAGCTTTTATAGTTTCTGAGATTCTTGCGTTCATCCAGACAGACAGAGGGACGGACAGACGGACGGACATGTCTAGATCGATTTATCTCGTCATGCTGATTCAGAATATATATACTTTATGGGGTCGGAGATGCTTCCTCCTGCATGTTACATACTTTGCACAAACCTAATATACCCTTTTTACCCTACGGGTACAGGGTATAAAAATATAAAAAATTATAAGTGGGCTTTATTCCATGGTTTTCGGAGTCTTTCAACAATTTCTCTCTTGTCCATTTTTTTCTGCCATATAACCATTATTCTATTCTAGTTGTTTTGCAGACAAAACGCATCGACAGTTTGTATAAAGATATGCGAATCAGATTACATATAACAGGGTATGTAGAGTATGTCCATAACTATTGAGGAATAAAATATTAAGTTTAGATGCAACGAAGAGTACGTAAATTCGCCGTAGACAAAGAAATTGTATAGTCTTTTAGTTAAAATGCTGGATTTTGGCAAACAAAATTATAATTGTAGAAAAAAAGTTGTTTTTTTTTTAACTTAAGTAAAGCTAAACTAAATGCTTTTCAAACACACTGTAAGACATCGTGGGTTTCAGAAAGATATGAATTAAGTATGTGAATTGTCTTTTAAACACCAGAGTGCTGTTTAATCCAGTCGCGGAAATAGTAAACACGTGCATAGCCATCTGGATAGATATTGCCACAGCCTCCATAAACAAAACCAGCAATGCCGACTACTTCGCCATTGTAGAGAGCAGGTCCGCCAGAGTCCCCATTGCAGGCACCATTATCTGCCGGGTGCAATAGGCATAGAATTCCAGGCTTGCCCCAACCGATGCGGTTTTCGCACTCCTCAAGCGACGCCGAGGTCAGTGTGTTCCATTGTAAGTAACGCGGCAGATCGCCTCCAGCCTTAATACGACCCCATCCCGAAATGATGATATCAGCATTGGCAGGCGTATACACAGAAGCCAATCTTACTGGCTGGAGAGTTTCCGTATAGATGAAGGGCTCGTCCACACGCAAGAGAGCAACATCATTCAAGAAATTGCCGTAGTCCTCATGAACAATAATCTCCACAACATTGACAAGGACTCCGCCCGCAAGGCGATCATTGGTGCCAGCTCGAATGCTAAACCGCTCCTTGGGATATGTATAGTACTCGTTGTTCTCATCAAAGCTACCCACACAGTGGGCAGCCGTCAAAACCCACTCGCGACCGATAATCGAACCTCCACAGCTATGCGAACCACCGTTACGCAACGATATCTGATGCGGAAATTGCGCGTATGTCGCATCTTCGCCGCCAACGACGCGTCCAGTGATCCCGTTTGGAGCCCCGAGCGCGCAGGCCAACAATGAGGCAATAGCCAGAGAAAGAACTAATCGGTGTCGCTGCATCATGTATAGCTCGAGTTTTTTCGCACTGAGGCGCACTCTCGATGCTCGCTAGCTTTTATATTCGCGTTCTAAGTCGCGTTTATTTATGATGCCCTTATAATCGAACTGAAGCGCACAACCGATAGGAGTGTAGTTTGCGATCTAATCTAATCGCAGGTCTTAGTTCTGAATTTATGTGTGGCTTGATCAGTGTGGTCGTCGCAAGTCTATATCTAATCACAAAACATGAATGAAATGCTACGCTTGTGCGCGAACTACTCTTGAAAACCCCTGCATTCACTGCACTATTGTTATTATTTAATCATTTTATTTGGCAACAACAATTCCAAAAATTACAGCACCTATGCGAAATTATTAATATCCGTGTATATATCCGTGTAAGAGGTGCACAAAAAAATAATATATTTTCTTTTCTTTTCTTCGACTGAGTAGAATGCGATTACCAAATTTGGTTACTCCAGCTCTTCTGCGTTCCGAGATCGTTGAGGTCGGACAAACGCCTCATCATACTGATCAAGAATATACGTTTATAACTGGTGCGGTCTGCCACGCCTTCTTCTAGTTGCGACATACATCCCCACCAAACTAGTATACCCTTTGGTAAAGAGTATGAGCAACATTGACACACTTTTGCATGCCATCCCAGATATCGTTTTCAAATTGTCATTCATTATTGATGTTAATGCCAACTGCAAATCAGTCAAAACAACGACAGTCATTCAGCTAAATAAATAAAATCTATTTTTAGTGACAAATTAAAAACGTAGCCTTTATCAACTATCTATCGTTGAGGGTTTTCCCAAAAAGAAATCTTCAAATGAAATTTCAAAAATAATTTCCACGCATTTTAATGACATAGTTTATTAGATTTCGTGTAAAAGCTATCCTAAATGGAAAAAAAAAAACTAAATAGCAGACTTTTTTGTTCCCCAACTTAATCTGGTGAAATTATAGCCGATTGTGCATATTGATAATAAAATATTTGAAAATATTCCCCTGCTAATACAAGATTTACGAGTTTATGCGCAATATTCGCGGAACCGCGTGGTATGACGGTTCAATGTCTTTGATGAAGCCGAGTTCCTGTTTTTCTCTGTCTAACCATCTATCTGTCTGAATGAGCATAAGAGTCTCGAAAAGTACGATAAATAGGGAACTCGAAACGCTGCCCATGCTTTGCTAGCAGCTGATGTGGTTGTTAATGCCTTGATTTAACTCCTGGGTGCCTAGGTTGCCCTTATATTACAAGAAGAATAAACGCTCCCTTTTTTGCTTCCTTGCTGCGCGTTTTACTACGACGAACGACGACATATAACAAATTTTTATACTCTGTACATGAAATGTACAAGAGTATATTAGGTTTGCGGGAGCTGAAAAATGTAACAGGCAGAAGGAGGCGTGGCAGACCCCACAAAGTATATATATTCTTGATCAGCGTGACAAGACGAGTCGATCTAGCCCTGTCTGTCTGTCTGTCCGTCTGTCCGTCCGTATGAACACCTGGATCTCAGAGACTATAAGAGATAGAGACACCAAATTTTGCACAAAGATGCGTTATGTGTGTATTCTATACGAGTTTTATTTTTTTGATTTTCCCCCCCACTTCCCCCCTATGGGGGTTTTCCCGATTTTCCATTCGTATAATCGCCTATATCTCGGAGACTATAAGACCTAGGAACACCAAATTAGTCCAAGGTGCCTTGTGTGAATACGCAGAAAATGTATATTTTGGAATTTCCCTCCCTCCTCCCTCTCCACCGCAAATGCGATTTTCTCTAACTCCCGTAATTCTTGGAATTTCGAACTAAAATTTTGGAAATACCCCCAGTTAGTAATTATGTGTTCGTATGCCAAGTTTCACTATGATAGACCGATTTGCCAAGAAGTTATAGCCATAAATATATTTGCTGCTGCAGCGCTGCTCAAGCGCTGCTCAAGCGCTGCTCAAGCGCTGCCCGCGGCTGTTGTTGATGTTGCTGTTTGGTTGACTGCGAAAATGCTTACACAGACACGAATTGATGCGCATAGGCATACATACACTCACACAGACGCAATTGCTATGTAAATGTGCAATTATACACCCTTTACGTGAGTTCGAATACCGAGAGGTAAAATCGATCAAATTTTTTTTATTTTTTTTTTTTATTTTTATTTTCTATGATTATTGTAAACATATGTACAGAGTATTTCAAAGTCGGGACACCCGACTTTAGCTTTTTTACTTGTTTGATTGGTTGCTATGGTTGAAAAGGTCTAGGAGTTCATAAGGACGATCTGGTCAAAAGGCTATCAGAATTCCAAATATATTCGTTTTGTAGATTGGCAGCCACGGCTTAAGCTTTTCAGAATCCATCAAACTTAGTGTATTGCGGACTATATGTATATCCTATATCCATACTCTTAAGCACAGTATTACAGTACAATTATGTCCCATATGCCAAAACTTGGCTTATATTATATTATTTCGACATGGGGTTTTTGGCACTCATTCTTTCAGTTTAGATTATACTTATATATTTTTTATTTACAATTATTAATAAAGTGCTTAGTTCCAACTATGGTGATTACACGAGTACACATGCTTTATATATGGTAATCGATCGACACCGCAGTTATGTTTACAATTTAATCATTAACTACTAACAAATTGCAACTAGAGCTACAGCTTCTGTTATTTATATTTTATAGACATATAAATAATAAAAGATAATGAAAAAACTATCTATGTTGCCCTACCATAAAATAAATTTGACTTTCCCCATATCATGGAATTCATTATCGCAAGCCTTGTGTTCTGCTGGCTTCTGATTGTATTCATCACGTGGATAATTATCAATACGCTTTTGTTATCAGATTTTCGTCGTCCCCAATTAATTGTGCGTCCGTCCGTCCCACCATCAGCGACGAGCTAGGGAGCCAGGGATCCAGTGAGCCAGCGAGCCTCTTGCAGTGTGCAATTAAGTGCAGCACACTTCTAGGCTTCGCAGCGAACGAATCAACGAAGCGACAACTGACGCTCAATTCGATCCTTTGTTGTTGGCAGTTGCTGCTGTTGGTGTCTGCTGGTATTGTCATTGTTATTGCTTTGCCTAATTGTTTGCATTTAATTAACATTGCTGGCATTGAACGACGCGCATAAAAGTCGAGCGAGAATTGTAAGCAATAGTCGAGATACCCACTATTTGATGACTAGCTGTGGGTGTGCGGTGGGGGGTGGGGTGGGGAACTGGACGGGAACGAGGACTGAAGTCCCATTATCATCATCATCCATTGGAGCAATCAGCTCACGGCTGATGATGATTTGCTTGCGCGCACGCTTCGTCGGGAACAAAGCGCCAAAGTAAATAAATAAACAATAGAGCAAACACAAAAACAATGTAGAGTGCAGGACACACCTGCCAAACAGAAACAAAAACAACAACAACAAGAAACAGAAACAGTGTAGGAAGAAGGCAGCGGAGAAGCTGAAAGCCGGCGAAACGGTAAGTGGTTAACGGTAAACTCCGCAAATGGCAAGCTGTGAAAGGATTCATGATAAATCTATTAGCCAAGCGACGTGTAATGCTTTGTATGCCCGTTGCTCTGTGTGTGTGTGTGTGTAAGTGAGTGTGTGTGTGTGTGTGTGTGTGTGTAATTGTCTGAATGTTTGAGTGGCTATGCAACGACGACGCTATCAGTCGTCCCGACACTTGACGTCCGACGCCGACCACTGCAATCTGAAGACACAATTATAGTAGACGGACGCTAACTGCCGATCTGACGCCGGCCGGACAGCGGCCAGGAGTCACACAGGAGTCAAGTGCAGAGCCCACGCCGCTGTTCTCTCCGCCCACTCTTTGCTCCTGCTCAGCAGAAGCAACTTTTTAATTTAATCAAAACGAGACGCTTCGCTACGAATGCAAAGACTAGCCGCCAACAAGGCAAAAGAATAGCGACAAAGAAGACAGCAAACGCAGCGCCCCAGGAATAAACAAGCGGGAATGTGACAAGCGGGCATGTCTGCACTTAAATACCCTACATGCCTTGCTTCCCAGAAGCAGAAAGAAAAAAAATAGTAATAACCAAGCCGTAGTACTAAAAATATGTTTAATAACTTTCTTTTAGCGTTAACGAATTATAAATATAGATAGACAGTTCGGAAGTCCCAATACAATAAACTAAGTACGAGCATACTTTATGCAAATAGTTTCCTAATCTTTACATAATGTCTTTCAAATAGTTTCTTACTCTGCGTCTAACTTCGAACACTACTTAATTAGGATAGAATAAATGCTCCTTCGTGCCGGCATTCTTTCAAACATCCCTTATTATTCTCAGGGTGCCATACAGGCGTCTTAAAACTAGATTTAAATATTAAAGTTTGCCTGTGACTATTCGGTATATACTTGTATGTATATAGTACATACATCTTATAGTGAGTAATTACATATATAAATCTTACGCTTATAAAACACATGGACAGCGTCTAATTTATGTAGCGGTGGGTTCAGCCTTACGGTTTCAAATGCTGGATCCGCAACCTTTTCTGTGACGAAACCAATAGCATGGTAACAGGCGAACATAAATGAACAGCAAGTAGACCAGCTGGCGTAATTGAAATTATTAATTTAAATTAAAATCAATCGGAAATGTAAGCCATTTTGATTTTCTTCCATTGGCCACATTTCATAACACATTGCTGCACGGTCCTACCGGTAAACTAAGTCCTAAACTTCTTATGGTTTTCGGGTTTGCCAGAAATATATTTAGTGAGAAATAGGACTGCGTTGTCAGAGGCTTTTGGATCTATCTATTTTTAAGCGGGTTTTATAGCTATTTATAGCGGTGTTTCTAACCATTTTTAGCGGTCTATTTATTTTTAATTGGTTTCCTAGCGATTTTCTGGCGGATTTTTGGCGGAATTTCTATCTTTTCTCTTACTACCTAATTTGTTTTTATAGCCTGTACCCAAAGGGTAAAAAGCTATACTAGTTCTTGCTATTTTGTAGCATTTTCACTTC